ATGGCTCAAATATAATATTGTGATATTTCAGAGCATTCTGACGATAACGATGAATTTCGTGATATAACCAAAAATAACAGAAATCATAGTTATTCATTTGACAAAATTCACTTAAGATGTTGCTTTACAGTATTATATAAAAACAAAAAAAAACGAGGGTTAATTTGACTGAAATTACTTTATTTAGTAAAGTATTCAGTCTCAAAGTATAAAAATAAAAAAGATCCTTCTGTTATTTAGATTGAAAACGTCTGCACAAAATATATATCAATAAATCCACAAAAACTGAAGTGCAGGTGAAGTTTCACAAAATAACTAAATAAAATTACGCTTAAGATCTGTTGAGCATAAATTTAACATACAACAAAAAATATGTTGCCTTTAAAGGAGCTATAACTTCCAAAACTTGACACGGTGATCAGCTGACCCTGAAGCTTGTTGGTGTTTCATCTTCCTCTGTTCCTGCAGAATGATTAATTTCTCTGATGCTCTGTCTTTGATCACCTGACTCTGTTCTTGGTCCATGGACTGTGGAACTCAAGAGACACAGCTGAGCTGCACATGTTTGTACCAGCAGTTTATAGCGGGGCGGACACGGCTGAGCTGCGCCCGCACCGGCAGCCCAGAGCAGGGTACGGGGAGAGAAAAAAGGCGAGCTGCGCTGGTAGGAGGGGGAGGGAGAGACAGTTGAGCTGTCACTGTCTGTACCCACAGTTTAGAGCTGGATGGAGAAACACAGCTGAGCTGCGCATTGTTTGTTTTTAGCATTTTAGCTAGCTAGTATTGTGTGCAGCTAATTAGCGTTACGCCAGTACCGACAGGTGGATGGGGGAGTGCGCAGTTTGGTTCAGTAGTTCACCGCGCTCAGTTTTGTTAACGGGACGGGGCAAACACTGACGTACTTATGTCATGAAATTAGCATATCATGGTACAATTTATATTCCCAGGCAAGCTTTTTTTTTTACCGGTATTATCATGAACGATATGATATGGACATTGGGCATCTGCTAAGGATGCCCCCTGGACGCCTCCCTAGGAAGGTGCTTCAGGCATGTCCGGCTGGAAGGAGACCCCAGGGAAGACCCAGGACACGCTGAAGAGACTATGTCCCTTGGTTGGCCTGGGAATGCCTTGGAATCCTCCCAGAAGAGCTTCTGGGCTTCTCTGCTCAAGGTGCTTTCCCCACGACCCGACTTCGGAACAAGCGGAAGATAATGGATGGATGGATATGATATGACCCAGCCCTACACCCACACACACACACACACACACATATATATATATATATATATATATATGTGGATGGATATATATATATATATATATATATATCCATCCATCCATTTTCTTTACCCGCTTATTCCATTTTGGGTCACGGGGGTCGCCGGTGCCCATGT